TGTCTGCATCAAGCTCACTGCAACACACTGCTGTAAGAGTATAACCAGGAAGCGAGGTAGGAGGGCAAAATAGGTTTAGCACCCCCGCAGCACGGGAGGGAGAATTACGCCCAGGAGCAAATGGATAAAAATAGACCAGAGAAAAAAAAAAATGAATCGATTCTCTTGCGGACGTGTCGATGCATCGGATCGTCGGCTGTTGGATCGATGCATCCAACAGCTGCATTCAAAGGCTAAGTTACTGAGTGACTGAGAGTACGGTGTGATAATGTAATGTTAGTATTGCAGTGTTTCCCGCAGTACTATCTTGGCGAGGCGGCCGCCTCGCCAAACTCACGCTACCGCCTCGCCAACGTTTCAAAAAAAACAAAACAAAACAAAGTTTTAATTCATTGGCAGGCCCAGACCTTAAAACAGCATTGATAACTCTACTGATAATACTGAATTGCGACACCCTCTGGTTGGTTATATTACTACGCCATGGCAGAGGAGTAATTTTTTTTTTATCATCTGAGTAATCATTTTGACTATGTATTGGTATGTAATTTACGGTGGTGTAAGATGCTGGAAAAAGTTTTAAAATGGATCTTGAAAGTGCTTGAAAAGTGCTTGATTTTGACTTTGGAAAAGGTTTACGAACCCTGATATTACCTGGGAGTAAGCAGGAAAAGAGCCTCCTCTGGCAGATGGATGAGCCATTTATCTACCACAGTATAGATTTCTGTTAAGTCTTCTGGCTGCCACCGGGGGACTCCACTGAGCAGAAGGTGTAGGAAGGTATTGGTTTTATCTGCACAGTCACGTTTGCTCCAAAGGAAAGACCTCTCAGTTTCTTTCAGGCTGAAAATGCAAAGAAAACATTTTTTTTGTAAAAAAAAAACAGAAAGAAGATACGTTAAACTCCTGTTATTCAGAATTAGTTACCAAACGTCGCCAACTTACAAACAGATGCAATGCTTTTTGGAAACATTCAACATTTTACTTTGAACTTCATCACAAGGCTGAGTGAAGGTGATTGACTCAGGGAGGGCGATGGGTCTTTGGTATTCCCACTCATACTGCTCTTCAAATTCAAGCTGCAACAACAAATTATAACACATGAGAAGGTAATATGATAAGTCAAAGGCGTGTGTATCCTGGTAGTACTGACCTGCAGTATGACTCCTGTGGGCTGTCTGTGGCTGTCAGACAGCGCAGGGGATGGAGGAAAGGGTAGCTCAGCCAGAGTGGACATGCTGAGCAGGACAGTTCCTCCAACCAACGTCCTAAACAAACAGAACAACTAACATAGCTTTTAAACATCACAGACATTGATTTAGCCTTCATTTAATTTGTCTTAAGAGATGTTTTTTTTAATAGAAAGTTATAATAATGCCATACACAAAGTCAAGGATGTTTTAAAACAAGAACTGGTGCAGAAGCTCAAAAAAGAAAACGATTTTCTCTAATGCATACAGGGTCAATACACACCCAGGCTCATATATGCTGCTGCATCTGCCTAAATCTTTCATCTAGTTCAGGGGTTTTCAACGTTTTCCAGGCCAAGGATCCCCAAACTGATGGTGAGATGGAGCGGGGACCCCCTGAATATATATAGTATGAAATAGTGTTCCATCAAACTGGTCCTATAGTCACTCTATTACAGATGGAGTAATGTAATGAAAGTAATTTCTCCCTGGGATTATTAAAGTATTTCTGATTCTGATTCCTGGTTGAATGGACAGGTGTTGTGAATGAAACGGTGCCCAGTTTGAAAAATCCATATTGAGATTGGATACCAGTTTTCTTTTTTTCAAAAGAAATTGCTCTAATGTTTAAAGCTGAAAGCATCAGTTTTTTTTGTTCTATTTCTGATTTTATAGAAAACTGTAATTTTAGCTTAAATTAAGTCAAAAATATATAAATTTCCTAAATTATGAATGTATATTGACCTAATAAGAAATAAAATTTTGATTAAACCTAATATATTATTATATATTATAATTAGGGATGCACAATATTGGGATTTTGGCCGATATCCGATATCCCGATATTTTAAAACTCATGTAGCCGATAACCGATATCGATACTGATGTTAAAGCTGGACAAAAATAAGTA